CCCCAAAACCCCAAAACCCCAAAACCCCAAAACCCCTGGATTAATTTTTATTGAAAAAGAATATAAAATATGTTGAATAACACATCACAAGCCGAGAGTTCTGCAGATACTGATTCTAAGAGACTTTTGAGTGAGATAGAAATAGCTGATCAGAAACTTGGATTTAAGGAAATCTATGGACTTGCAATTTTGGGAGCCAATAATGCTGTATCCTTCTGGATGGCTTTTATAGTGGTTTATGTAAATCCAGGGGATACACCTTATACAAGCATGGAAAAAGATCTTGACCTTACCCAAACTGAATACGGATTGCTATCTGGTGTGACTTACTCGCTACTGAGTGCTCTATTTTCTATTTTTAGTGGAGCTCTAGTTGACAAATTCTCAAGGAAATGGACTCTAGTAATTGCAGCCTTTCTTTGGTCAGGTCTAACTTTTACTCAGAGCTTTGCTACTAATTTTATCACAATTATAATTCCCAGGATAGTGATGGAAATTGTTCTCACCGCAAATCATGCTTCATCCTTAAGTTTAATAAGTGATTATTTCAATTCCAAATACAGAGCAAGAGCATGAAGTTTGTATCAATTCGGCTTATACGTCGGTATTGGTTTTGGATCTTTCAGTATAATAATGACAAAGCTGATTGGCTGGAGAAATGCATTCAGAGTGTGAGCAGGATTTGGTGGATTTATTGCTTTTCTGACCATTTTTATCAGCGAGCCCCAAAGAGGTAAATTTAATTCAGAACAAGATAATCAAGATTTTAAAGATATTTCTGTATCGATGTCAAGACTTGAAAAATTGAAGAAAAGTTTAAAAATTATATTTACAAACAAAATATGAATTTTTCTTTGTTTATCAAACATGGTCAGACTTTTTGGAACCTCTGCTATAGGATTTTGGGCAGTTAGGTTTTTCAAAAGCAAATTTCCAGACTATCAGAACGAGTATTCAATCATTAATGGAATAAGTCTGATCACAATAAACTTAATCTCCTTGTATGTTGGGGGAACGATTGGTGACCATTATGATAATAAAAATCCTGCAGTAAAATCATACATCGTCGCTATTGGAGGACTGATATCATTCCCATTCCTGCTTGTTGCCTTTGTGTTTTCAACAAACTTTTGGCTCTCTTCATCACTTTTCATGCTAAGTTTTCTATTCTCAGAATCCTGGTTTGGAAACGTGTTATCAATGATACAGAATGTATTTCCATCCCAACTTGTAGGATCTGCAACAGCTGTGTTCCTAGTCAGTGGAGGAATTTCAGGAGCCTGATCAAATCTGCTATTAGGAGTCTTGAGTGATAAATACCATACATCAAAGAACCCTAAAGCTGCTGGAAATTTATTAATAATTCTTGTAGGGATATCATACATTGGTTCAGCTCCTTTGTTCATAATTTCAGGGTATTTCTACAAAAAGTACATTCGCTCAAAATCCAAGGCAGAGAAATGTCCTAAGGTTATCGAAGAGGAGGAGGAAAATGAAGAATAAGCCATAAATTTCAGAATATTAATCTTATTTTTAAATTTGGTTTTGATTCTGTTGCGTAAATTCACACTTTTCAATCCCTATTGTCATCTATGGGGTTTTGGGGTTTTGGGGTTTTGGGGTTTTGGGG